CTGCCCAGAGAGGCTGTGGATGGGCATCCATCCCTGGAGGTGTTCAGGGCCAGGTTGGATGGGGCCCTGGACAGCCTGGGATGGTATTAAATGTGGAGGTTGGTGGCCCTGCCTGCGGTGAGGGGTTGGACATTCATCATCCTTGAGGTCCCCTCCAACCTGGCCGTTCTGCGTGCACAAAACACGCAGCGCGGTGCCCGTGGTGCCGAGGGCGATGCTGCAGTGCTGATGGCCTTTGGGTGATGGAGCAGAAGGAGCCCATGCAGGGCAGGCAGCTGTGAGCTGAGCCCTCGGGGCTCCCTCCCACCTCTGTGCAGGGGGTGCTGTGGGCAGGCTGGTCCTGCGGGGGGGAGCAGAGCTGTGCTGGTTGCGCCGCGTGCCGTATTGCTGTGTGTGGGCAGCGCAGTGGTTGCTGCAGCTCCCCGGTGCTGCATCTTCTCCACGAGGAGAGCAGAACGCAGTGATGCTGTTGGTGTCCATTGGGCTGCAGGGATCTCTGTCTGCCATTCGTTGCTGCCATTCCCATTCTCTCTCATTATCCCCACTCGCTAACTCATTAACTCACAACTCTTTTGCTCACGGAGCCCCGAATGGCCCTCAGACCCCACAGCTCTCACGGCACAGAGAAGCCACGCGTGGAGCACAGCGCTGAGCTCCCGGGGCTGGGAGGAGCTCAGCCTGCACTGCAGGCACCCACTGACTGCTGTTGCTGTTGCAGGAGCTGATGACGGTGTTCCAACTGCTGCACTGGAACGGCAGCCTGAAGGCCATGCGGGAGCGGCAGTGCTCACGGCAGGTGAGTCAGCATCACAGAGCCATCGAGTGGCAGGGGGGGAAAAGGACCACAAAGTTCATCAGTTCCAACCCCCTGCTGTGTGCAGGGTCGCCAGTCAGCAGACCAGGCTGCCCAGAGAACCCATGGGGTGCCATAAGGATCTATAGGTGCCATAAGGATCCATAGGGTGCCATAGGGTGCCATAGGGACCCACAGGACACCATAGGGACCCATAGAATCACTGACTCATAAAATGGCCTGGGTTGAAAAGGACCACAATGACCATCAGTTCCAACCCCCTGCTGTGTGCAGGGTCACCAACCAGCAGCCCAGGCTGCAGAGAGAACCCATGGGATGCCATCAGGATCCATAGGGTGCCATAGGGTGCCATAGAGACCCATGGGATGCCATAGGAACCAAAGAATCATAGAATCCTA